GAATTTTCAAGTAAATCAGCCGTCGCCGACTTGGCGGTACTCTTTGGTGCATACACCAACTCTCAGCATTAAGACCGCGTAAGAACATCGTTTTATCGCAAGAATACAATCTAGAAACTAAATCCAATTCAACATTCAAGTTGCTTTCCAATTTAAATAATGAGCGTTTAGCTTCTGTTCTCTGCAAGATTGCAATGCTTTCTTCTTCTCAGTGTATTGGGGATTTTAACCTGACGTACAGATGCATGTTTTAGATCCAAAAAAGATTGAAACGGAATAGAGCAAATCTGGGAATTATCACTTTCATCTATTTCCTAAAGCCCGAACATTGGCAAGACTCTGCCTAATTGGAAGCTGCCTCCAACTGCATCTTGCTTCATAATCTACTGGATGGGAGGCAAGGCTGATCCAATACTTTCATCTTCCACCTTTGTATCTCTACAATGTTTCTTGTCCACAAAACGTCTTGATTAGCTATTGGCATCAATGATATAGAAAACAAGCCACGACATAGCCTCATACGAACTCTGGTTATCCCTAATTGCGGAGAATATGCTTCACCGAGCATCCTACCTTTATAGTATGGCTAGTACGAGCTATACTACTATGTTTACAAGCCGCTGCTGGTCCAGTATACAGTGAAGATATTGAATCATCAGTGCTCACAACGGGAGGTTGTGCAGAGGTAGAATTCCGGCTGTTAAATCAAATGGGTTGAACATTTGTTGGTTATGTGATGCATTATGGCCTAAGTTGCGTGGTATACGACCTCGTTGCATATTTAAGCGACTGCCATAGAGTGCTTGAGGTAGTCAATTAGCAGGAGATCCTTTCAGAAACGCATAATAACAGTTTGAAAGTTATTCCTTCTCATGCGCGGCCAGGAAATATTAATTAATAATTAGAACTTACAAGGGAATATATGAAGGTTGTAAGAGTTTTAATCGACTTCACCTCTGAGTGACTGTTATTGACTTGTGGTTCTTGTTACACTTGTTAGATAGAGGATGCTGAACTCACCACCAAGTGTATTATTTGCTCAATACGCCAAATAATATTATTACACCTAATAACGAAGGAAAAGAGCATCTGCAATTCGTGCAGCAAGAAAACAGAAAAACATAGCTCGATAGTCCACTAACCAAAGTACTGCTATATGGAATTGATATTTGGTTCTTTGCGGGCTTTCATAAGTGAAGCCTTTGTTTAATGAATGCATTAACGCAGAAAAACAAATAAAAAGTAGGGAAAACGCAAAGTGATAGACAGGAAGAAGAATACGACACATAAAGGAATAATAAGCTTGTTGGTCCAATTTTTTTAGTTTTAGTTCATTAATTCGAGCTTAACAAATAATGAATGAAGAGAAGTTACAAATTTTTGTACATGTTATGGTCAAGAAGGGAGAACAATACATATCAAATAATAAACACATGTGAGAAAAAGAATTATTAACAGAATCCTATTCAAAAGCTATTACAACAATAAATAGTGCATAATCAAAGAATTGCCAACTAAGGAAACTGTCTCCCACTTTAGTATAGTTTGACTCAGACCCAAATTCTTTATGTGCGGACAAGTGAAATCAACATACAATATGGAAAAGTATAGAGAGATATGAATAATGATATGTTAATAAGTAAACTATAACATTATCACTTATCTAAAAAAGTACACTTTCTTGGATCGATACCGCGATCCAGCCATTCATTTCATAAAAATAACTCGATTCATAGATTATAGTTATACTCGTTAAGAAATTAATCAGGAACAACTCAGCTCATTTACGACCCTAAAGGCAAATCCTAATTATATAACAAGTGGCAAAAAGCAACAATCCACCACAATCAAGGAGAGAGGCGCCACAAGAGTGGACAAGCAAGATGATCAACAATTTGGGAATGGTTGGAGAGGAGTCATTCGAACCCACATACCAAACATGGCACCTAAAGACATCAGTTTCTATTACTTTTAGATAGTGGATGATGGAGATAAGTGCAGAAACCACATCATGAATTTTCAATAAAGCATAGAAGAAGACATAAAACAATGTACCAATACCAACATAGACCCAACAATCCTCTGTAGCTCCTTATCCTGCCTCCTCCACCACACCACCACCCTGCACCAAGAACGTAATAGTAGCATATAATGCAAAACTGTGTTCAGTGGAGCAAGTACAATCAGCCTAGGCAGAGAATATCATGTCTGAACCTAATGTGGAGCTCGGTCTCTTTGCCTAACCCCGTACAACCCATTCTCACTCTGTCCTCCGGACCTCAATTATACTATAACTTATTGAAGGTCTCTTTTTCACTACTAGCAATATGATATCTAAATATTAATTTATTGCAAGTTTCTGATAGACCTAAGTTCAATTCAACACGAATTTTAGTGGTATATTCATAAATTTTTTTTTTCCAACTTGATTTTCTAATTTTTCAGTTTGAGACGTGTTTACAAAGTTTAAACTGAGGTACAGAGAAAGAGTCTGTTTGGGGTGGTACAATGGGGTTATCACAAGAAGAGACTATATTAAATGGGTAGAAACTGGGTATGGTGTTTGCGCCTGCGTGAGAATCTAAGGCAAGCTGGTGCCACTTGGAAGCTGGAAACTCACCCTTCTGTACCTGCTACAGAGGCGTATTAAGGCAAGTTGTTGGTTATGGGTGACATACAATTGGCCTAACCTTTCTCAGGCACCAAGTCAAGCTGTCGAACAGAGATTCGTTGTCGGAAGTGGATTAATAACCTCATCTCACTGTAAACCGAAACTCTGTATACTCGTTGCAAGGCTACCTAACTTAAACCTATGAAGCAGAAATTAAGGCATTGGGAGCGTTATATAGCTGAACTGATTGACAAGTTATTCAAATAAGTAGAAAA